TATAAATTAGAAATAGAGAAGTAATACTCGCATTTGTAGTTTAGAGTATTGTTTGTATGCATTAAAGAACGAGACTTCAATAGAAGAGGTATCGTCCTTAGCCATCAGTTTATGAAATAGAAATGAAAGAAACATCGATTTTTGTTCTCCAACTGTTTTTTTTAAAGACAATCACTGGTTGATAGGAATATAATTAAAAGTGGCTTCATCGAAGAGCGAGGTTGCATGAAAACATTACTGGTATATGCGAGAGTCACTTGGGTAGTTTGTGGAGTTACCGCTGTGGACAGAAGAAGTATGAGTTACCAGTAGGGACTACAGAAAGATGAGTTACCACTAGGAACAGCAGAAGTCAAGAAGAAGTTACCAGAGTTACCACTAGGAACAGCAGAAGTCAAGAAGAAGTTACCAGAGTTACCACTAGGAACAGCAGAAGTCAAGAAGAAGTTACCTGAGTTACCAGTAGGAACAACAGAAGTCAAGAAGTTACCAGAGTTACCACTAGGAACAACAGAAGTCCAGAAGTTACCAGAGTTACCACTAGGAACAACAGAAGTCAAGAAGTTACCAGAGTTACCACTAGGAACAGCAGTAGTCAAGAAGAAGTTACCAGAGTTACCACTAGGAACAACAGAAGTCCAGAAGTTACCAGAGTTACCACTAGGAACAACAGAAGTCAAGAAGTTACCAGAGTTACCACTAGGAACAGCAATAGTCCAACAGTTACCAGAGTTACCAATAGGAACAACAGAAGTCAAGAAGTTACCAGAGTTACCACTAGGAACAGCAGTAGTCAAGAAGAAGTTACCAGAGTTACCACTAGGAACAACAGAAGTCCAGAAGTTACCAGAGTTACCACTAGGAACAACAGAAGTCAAGAAGTTACCAGAGTTACCACTAGGAACAACAGAAGTCAAGAAGTTACCAGAGTTACCACTAGGAACAGCAATAGTCCAACAGTTACCAGAGTTACCACTAGGAACAACAGAAGTCATGAAGTTACCAGAGTTACCACTAGGAACAACAGAAGTCAAGAAGTTACCAGAGTTACCACTAGGAACAGCAGAAGTCAAGAAGTTACCAGAGTTACCACTAGGAACAACAGAAGTCAAGAAGTTACCAGAGTTACCAATAGGAACAACAGAAGTCAAGAAGTTACCAGAGTTACCAAAAAAAGACCAACAGAAGAATGTATTACCAGAATGGACAGTAGAATGGCTAATTAATTTAAAAAAAATCTATCGGTTTCGTCTTGTAAAAAAATTTATAGTCTATCAGACACAGGCATTTTTAAAGTTATGTTTAAAAACATTGTTTTGAACAAAGCATGAACTTCTTTCATTTCCGTTTTAAATTTTCATATATCCCCGTTAACTGTACCGAGCAATACCTAAACTAGTCGCTTTTAACATTCGCGTAAAAAATAGCAGCACAAATATTTTATTAATCAAAATCATCTCTCCAGCGACAATACTATTAAGGATTCAAATTTCAATAAATATTTTTTTTATTGTGTGTATGATAGGGGGGGGGGGGGGGGGGATGATGACGTCCTTTAAAAATCAACCAGGGTATGATTGCACGTCCCCCAAAAAAAAACCAAAATGTCTGCGTGTCACATCTCAGCATGAAAATAATACACCAATTTTTAAACCGTTTTTTTAACCACTTCCCCCCTGCATGAATAATTAAATAACAGCTAGTACAATCTCCCAGTAAAGTCAGTTCTCTTTTCAATACGTCACTTATCGTCTGCCATTTTGGTCTTAAAACGTCCCACTTGAGTTTATCCCTTATTTCAGCATCAATGGATTTATACAAAAAATTGAAAATAAAACAATTTTCGAATTATGCCGTTACTCTTGTACCAGACATTAAAAAGTTGGAATCAATAGCTAGTTAAGACAATTAAACCCCATGAAACGGAATTTGGATCCGCGGTTAGGAGATATAAAAATATAATATGATAAATATTTTTTTTATTATAATGTGCGGATCAAAACGGGTTGTGGAGAGCGGATCACACCGTTTTTCAAATGTGCTTTCGATGTACGGGGGGTTTAGTGCGGATAAACAAAAACATGGATCGCAAAAGCTGAAAAGTTACCTGGCAGGAAACAAAACAGAAAATAATGTCGGCTTAAGTGGCTCGCGACAACAGAGGCAAAAAAAAAAAAAAAAAAAAAAAAAAAATCTCACACACAATAGCGAGAACTGGACACGACAAGCACAGTGTGAGCAGCCCAGTCCCAGCCGTAACTGAACTCTTCCGTCACGTGCGCACGAGCAGAGAGGTGCGGAATTAACATGAGGCCAAAACATCTTGTGAGTAGAACACCCCCCCTCCTCTTCCCCGAACTCACCTCCCTTCATCTCCCCCTCCCACTTACTCACTCTTTCATCTTGTTGCGATTATTATTTTATTTTCTCAATACGGAGGTTTTTTTTTTTAATTCGTATAATGCTCTCAAGGTTCTACCAGCACCCCCCCCCCCCCTCTTGCACTTCTCGCCTTCTACCCCTCCCTGCATCCTCGCTCCCCCCACCCACACGTCCTGTCCCCACCCCTCACGCTCCCACCCTCATTGCTTTGTTTAACCCGGCCTGTCAATGATCGAATGATACGCGAGCCATGGATATTGGAAACACCGCCCCCCACACCTCCCACCTTCACCCCGTCTCACCTCGGGTGAGTTGACAAATCCATGGATACAACAACACAAAAGTGGATAAAATACAGGTTTGTGGATACACTTGGAAATTTGTGGATAAAACTTGTGGTTTGTGGATTTATTGAAAAAAAAAAGCAACAATCAAGGATAGTGGTCCTGAAATTAGAGCGAATTTATAAAAAAAAAAAACAATGGATACAATTTTTTTTTTTTGATAATGCAATCTATGCTACTAGCCGCGTTATTTAACATCGCTTCTTTACCGAACAATTATAACAGTTATCTAACTTTTTTCCCCATGTCTAAAATACCCAGCAGCATTACTTCCCCTACCATAGAGCAAAACCAAATAAATATCAGATGAGACTCAATAGCAGACGACAGCAACCCTTCCAGGAGAGACATCTCCAGTTCATGGCAATTCTGATCCAACTCAGCAATAACGAGTACCCGGATTAAGTTAACATATTATTTATATATAGATACTATTACAAAAGTAACAACATTTATACTGTGACCCCCAAAGGGCTTGTAAGTCTCTTTGCTTCTCTTACTTAAAATTTGAAATCTCGTTAGCCAGGGTCAGGTGAATTCTCAAACTATCCTTATCAGTTTTTACGATTTTAAATAACAATAGCGTAAGTAACTTTTTTTTTAATGATTTAATGTAAGCATATTCGCAATAGGTTTAAAAAAAATATTAGCTGGCTGGTATGATAAGAAGTTGGTGACCTACTTACAATCCATATTAATGGGCGAAAGTTAAGGGTGTGACTAGCCCAATGTATTGTTAAACATAAATAGATATTCGCACGTATGCATACAAACCCTAACATTCACACACACTCACTCAGATAAACACCCGAACACACACATAAAAACATACACATGTATTTTGTATTTTAAAAAAAATGCCCGTAGATTTTGATCACTTACACAAAATATTACAACAGACGAACTAATAAAGAGCTACAAAAATATTTTTTTTAAATCTCTAATATTTTACATCCCTCTGATTCACGAAGCGCTACTTTTGTCTAATCCTCGCACCCGATACCCGGTGACCCGAGTTCAAATCCCAAATGGATCTTCTATGTTCGACAATTTTTTCCAACAACAAAACCTTCCTCTCTGAACCTTTTGTCTCCACCCCACCCCCCCCCCCCTCACCCCCACCCCATGTACGCCGTTCTGATAAAGATTTATCAATCTCCCCTCGGTTAAAGTGCAAGGATTAAAATATTGTAAAAACTAAAATGATTCCCATAGTTTTGTCATTCAGCCTGCCTATTCCCATGTTGCCTTCATCCCATGGACCGACATGCGCAGATATCGTTCACAGTCACATGTCATATCCGGTCTGTAGCAGGTACTGGTTAAAAGTACATCATTAGAGGCCAATAACAAAGCCGAATTGTAATACCAAAATAAAATATTTTTAGGGAAAAAATAGTACTCCACAGAAATAACAAAGTATTATAATTCATTAAACAGATTTTAAGCCCAAAATAAAATAAACAATAACAATGCATCAAAATAAATAAATAAACGAAATCGAATTTTGTTGAAAATTAGATATTCTTTCTTTGTCATCGGAGATACACTTATCTAAAAAGTGAGAATAGTTTGCTCCATTAGAAATGGTTAAAGATTGAGTCACGCGAGTTAACCACAACCAGCAATTAAAAAAAAAATAACAACCAGCGAATTGAAATATGTGAAGAAGATATTGAGTCAGGGTGGACTAACAGAAGCATTTGTGTTTAGATGCTAGTATGTAAAATTGACATTTTTGTAACAGCTAAGACGCAAGCTAGTGACTTAAGACTTAAGCTAGTGTGTATTTAAAACGGGTTATGTAATATACATAATGAGACTTCGGTTCATCGCAAACACTTCTTTAGAGACTCTTCCTCAATACACACATTCATGCTTCTTCTTCTTCGTTATTAATTTTATTGTTGAAAGTGATTCCTTTCAACACAAGTATACGTGTCAACTGGTTATGCGCCATATAGGCCGTGTATTCAAACAAAAAAAGTTCATCTGCCTGTGTGTCTTGGGAACTATCTGGAAAAGATTGAAGTTTTCATAGTGCATCTTTCTCCATCAAAGCCTAATGCTCATTCGCAGCTTGGGTGCAATTCATGCAACAAAGTATTATTTTTTTTAATCAAAGCAAAATATAATAAACCGGGAGTGATCTCCCCTAAACTTTCTCGAATATTCTAATATAACACTACGTGGGATGTCAACTCGGAATATAGACATGATTTTTGTTTACTTAAACTTTTAAAAATAGAATAAAATCTAGTAGAAAAAAAATTGCGCACCAAGCGAGCACCAAAACCGAATGTGCGTAATAGTGCGCAATATTATTAGTACTTCTAAAACTTACATTAGTTTTTTGAGAAATCGAAAGTAGCGTAAATTACTACTTCCGGTCAACGGAAATTACTCAAAATTTAACAGAAGGTAGAGAATTAGATCTTTTACTTACATGTGAAATTTCATGTATCTATCTGAAATAGTACTCAAGTTATAGGCTTTTAAAAAATTCAAAGTAGGAAAAGTACCACTTCCGGTTATCGAAAATCGCTCAAAAGTTGATACGGATCTACGATTTTGATATAATACTTATATATGAAATTTCATCAACCTAGCTGTAACGGTACTCAAGTAATCGTGTTTACACACGGACACACAGACACACAGACACACAGACACACAGACACACACAGACATACGGACAAGATTGCAAAATTATGTTTTTCCGTATCAGTGAGGTGTAAAACGTCGAGATTTGTAAAAATCTCGATTTTTTTTTTGCACGATTACAATACTTTCTCTATAGGCCTACTTCGTATATACGAGAAAGTAAAAAGCTTTCAAATTTTCTCCATCATCATCTTTTCCCGTTCGTGCCCAAGACACATAGAGCAGATAAAATAGAGTTCATCTGTTACAATAACCTTGGCATACAAGGGGATAGTGTGGTCAGCACTATGCCCAGCCGCCGTTGTTTACAGGACGTTGGTCAGGTACCCATTAGAGCTGGGTGAACTCAGAGCAGTGGCGTAGCTACCGTAAATCTAGCGTAAGCAAGGCATAGGGGCCCAAGGCAAATAGGGGCTCTTTTTCGAAAGTTGGGGGGGGTGCAAATCGAAAGTCTGAGGGGGGGGGGGGGTGCAAATAGAAAGTTTGTCTCCGGTGTCGCCGGGAAGGGTCGCTACGCCTCTGAGGGGCCCACCAACACTTTTTGCATCCGGGCCCAAAATTCCTAGCTACGCCACTGACTAAGAGACGTCCTACAGTCTCAAGCCCGGGATCCGAATTCGTGACTTTCGAGTTAGCAGCCTTTCGCTCTACTATCCGACCACGCCGCGTGTTTTTAAATACCCTGAATATACCGGCTTTAAAGATGGGCTTGAACTTCCATGAGCGTGACCCGGGGGGTGGGGGGGGGGGGGGTAGGGTGGGACTTCACATTAAACGTCAAAAGGAAAGATAATTTATTATGTTGACCATCATTCGTGGATACCAATCCGTTAACCGCCGAACGGATAATTACAAACCTCCACAAAAACGAGCCCTCTACTCAGAGGGGGGATGAATAACCCGTGGGTCAGCAGTTATGTCCCTTCTCTGCGCCTGAACTCGGAATTCAGGGACTTTAGTATCGACTCCAGTTTGACACGGCCGATGTGACCGGTTGTCAAAAAAACTTTTCACGTGCTGAGATTTATCGTGATCCGGTCCAATCTAATGGTCCGCGGTGTGTTCAGGTGAGGTGTCGGCAGTTTCAAACGGCCAGTGGTCAAGCGCAAGGGGTGGTGGTGGACTGGCCCGCCAGTCTACTTGGACAAACCCCGGTGGGTCACTATCAAAATATAAAAAAAATCCCGGTGTGTCCCCCAGGAATGGTGGTTTGATTTATAGCAAATTTTATAATCTTTACAATTGCTTGGTTAAACAAAATATGACGTTTTTTTAGAGGAATACATTATTACACAAACAAACACACACACACACACACACACACATACACACACACACACACATATATATATATATATATATATATATATATATATATATATATATATATATATATATATATATATATATATATATATATATATATATATATATATATATATATATATATATAGGCCTATATATCGAGATGAGATTAAGGAACTTTTATACCTGTTGCTTTTATGACTTTCAGAATTGAGAATAGGACATCTACAAGAGGGGTGGGGGTGGGGGGAGGCAGAGGGGGTTATAACCCTCCGGACACTCCTGCCCACGCCATTGAACTTTCATGCGCTTGATGAGCAACCGAGTGCCCTCTTGATACTCCACGACGCCGCTTGGCGCAGCACTTTTGGTTTTTGTGTCGTGTCAGACTGTCGTGTCGGACGGCCGGCAACACATAGGAGGTGGTGGTGGTGGTGGGGGAGGTGGGTGGGGGGGGGGGGGGGGGGGGGTAAGGATTGAAAGGTCGGCCGCTTAAACAGACGGCCGGGGGCGAGTCAAAATGTAGGTAGGGACAGGCGATGGGGGTAAATAAAAACCTAGAGATTGTGTGTGCGCGCGCGTGTGTGTGTGTGTGTGTGTGTGTGTGTGTGACGTGAAGTGTATAGGTGTGTGTGCGTGTGTTTGTGTGTGTGTGACGTGAAGTGTATGTGTGTGTGTGCGTATGTGTGTGTGTGTGACGTGAAATGGTTTCACAAACGAGCCCCATGACTCAATTTTAAAAGGAGGACTTTAAATCGAAAGCTTACACAAGCGGCTTGAAAATATTGGATTTAAATCTTTCGTTAGACATTTGATTGACGAAAATTAAAAAAAAAAAGTCGCATCTGTGCATTTATGTGAAAAAAAAAATAGTTAGAGGGTAATTGGATTTTTGTTTTCTAAAGTAAGGATTTGAAAATGTGCAAGTCGTTTTAAATTGTGTTGGGGGAATCAATGAGATGTAATCCTACGCACCTGACATATGGATAATTTCATGAAATGGGATAAAACTGATCAGACTCATGTGATTAGCGGCTAACACATTTTTTGACTTCGGTCTTTTGATCACAAGATTTTGACTAATATTCACAAATTTCGGGGATATTCATTTTTATAAATTGGTGATATCTGTTCTTTTTATATTTTATAATTTCATTTATTTTTTTAAATTTCATTTTAAGACTGAATTGGCGAAATCTTTCTTTTAATTTAGGGAATCTTTAAATTTAGCAGTTAAAAAAAATTGTTTGGGTGCGAGTTTTTATACCAGAAAGGAGAATCTTAATAGTATAATAATATTATTGTTAACGTAAAAAGGGACTATGGCCATATACATACAGAGTTTCTTCCTGTGAATTTATGTAGAAAATATGTACTTTTAACAGTGTCCGCCCCCCCCCCCCCCGAAAAAAGTCTAACCCCCGAAAATTTCAAGT